GAAATACTCGAGTGGAAATGGCTGAGGATAAAAATGGATTTTATAACCAAATTACCTAAGAAGACAGACGATCTGGATGCTATCTGGGTGATTGTTGACCGATTGACAAAATCCGCCCATTTCCTGCCAATAAAGAAGACGTACAAGATGTTATATGTTTGGGACAACCACCAAGCTTCGGGTCAATTCAAAGTCAAGTCAAGGTCAACAAGTCAATCTGGTCAACTCAACTAGTGTTATACATTTGGGATTTCTTTATGTTTACAAATGTACAACTATAATTCCTAATGCAAAGTAACATTTGGAAGTCCCAAATGTTCCAATTTTAAAACCCTAATCTGATTTAGGGAAGTAACAGCTCTATAAAGTACTATTAAGTAGTCTTCGGGGGTGTAGAGCACTCAAAATGGGATGTGACTAAGTCTAAAGTCCTTATTTTACAAAGAAAAACATTAATAAGGAGTTGAAATCTCAATCTCTCCCACTATATCTCTATCTCTCCAAAATCTCTCCAAGTATGTGAAATCTCTCCCAAATCTCTCCATGTATGTGAAATTTCTCCCAAATCTCTCCAAGTATGTGAAATCTCTCAAAGTATGTGAAATCTCTCCTAAATTTCTCCAAGTATGTGAAATCTCTCCCAAATCTCTCCAAGTACGTGAAATCTCTCCCAAATCTCTTCAAGTATGTGAAATCTCTCCAAGTATGTAAAATCTCTCTCAAACCTCCCTACGTACTTTCCTTAGTCGAAAACAGCCCAAAACCGGAGGAGAGAACCCAAAAGGATCCTCTTAGTCTAGAACCATGTTGGTCTGGAACCTTGTTGGTTCGAAACCTTCTTGGTCTGGAATGCCTTCTAAGGAACCAAGAGGAATCACATCTTCGGAACCCCCCTTGCTCCCGATCTCCCATACTCCAGAAGGACTACAGCTTGCTTCGGAACCTCGCTCCAGAAGATTTCACAAGTGCTTCTGAATCCCTAGTCGGCTCGCACCTCGGGTCGGACCTCTGGACTTCGCACCATGCTCCAGATCAGAAGAAAGAGCTTCGGAAATTGCCAGTTGACTCCAGATCCTTGGAGAATGACTTCGGAAACCTCCTACACCCTTCCGACCCTCACAGAAACATCACTACACTCCAGATTTTCATCATTTTCGGACATTTTTTTCATTTTAAGACAATTTGACGCTGGAAATCACACCAAACTCGTATTTTTCAAATCCTAAACCCCTTAAACCCCGGTTTTATGCCAAAATCAATTATTTTAAACATATCTATAAAATATAATACCCAATATTTTGAAGACATTGTTAGAAGAGGAAGGACTTGACTTTATCATGTGATACTTATCCTTCCTTTAGACACGTGAACTCCTTTCCTCTCCAAGTCCCATTTCTCTCATTCACCTTCAGTAAACTCCCAAGAACACCCTCAACACCTTCAAGCTTCAAGTTCATCCATTCAAGGGAAATTCTCAGATTTCTTTGGTGTATATTTTATCCTCTTTTAAACAACTACTCTTTCTATTATTCTAAGATTTCATTATATTTACACAAAAAAATTATTTTTAGAATCTTCTAGAGTTTTAAGAATCTTCCAAGTTTTGGAGCTTGAAAATTTCCTCATCACTCGTCAAAATCACCCACCAAAGATAACCAAGGTGAGCTTCATACCCCACCTTTTTCTAAATTCTTATTGTTTTTTAGGGGAGAATACAAGTCAAATCTTGTCTAAGTCCTTAGATAATTGCATATGTTTGTATGTTTAGTATGTATATTGAGATGTTATTATATTATAACAAATTTTTCATGAATGTGAGCTCACAGATTATATGAAAATCTTAGAAATGTTTACAAAACCACCTCACAAGATTTTAAATGTGTACATTCATACCCCTTACTTCATATCTCTCTATATCGAAAGATAAAAAGTTGTTGAAATACACTTATAAGATGACACAGTTGCTAGGATCTTCAAAGTTTGGGACTTTATGCCCATCAATGATTATTTTTGCAAACTATTAGGGGGTATTTCATAAATATTTGACATTAGTATTTGCGGCAAGAAAATATACAAATAGAGTGGTTATGACAGAAAAAATTGTATGTCATAAAGTTGCTGTCATAAACTAACAGAAATCAAAGTTATATATATATATATATATATATATATATATATATATATATATATATATATATATATATATATATATATATATATAAATCACAACTTGGTATTTTCCGATAATTTGAGTCGCACATAATCTTTTATAAAGAAAGAGGGGTTGTTTGCCGGTTTTGATAGTATTTGGATCACTTTGATAAATATTTCAAAGTGGATTAATTCCAATAAACTAAACGAACGAAACGAAATATCTAGTAACAACTACAAGTATTATTATTATTTATTTAATAAATAATGATTTTTACGATTTGCTCAAAGATCGGTTAGCATTCTAGTCAGAAAAAATCTTCACAGTACATATATTAATACAATATTGTACACTTTAAATCCTGTAAGAGTTATAACTAGAGTCTCCTGGAGGGAGAGTGGGAATTTGTGTATACATCTATACGGGTGACACCCCGCACCTTCGTTGTTCGCTACAGCTAGACCGGTCAGTCTAGGGTGACAAATGTCTTGAACAAAACCGACGCCTGAAGAACATCATAATAGGCACTCCATCACATCAGTAAGCTTATAACGACTAACAAGAATATATATCATAAATGTGTTTATATAGAATTCACTTTCGGCTTTCAATTAACTATGTTTTGAATACCTCAACGAATCCTTTTTCACACAAGTGCTATAATTTTAAGAAAGCTACTATTTTATACATAAGAGAATATAGGATTTTCTGGGAGAAACGATTTATTACGTTTTCGAAAACAATGAATTAAGTTACACATGAAACTATATTCAGATTGAAATAAGACTCACAACTATTTTGAGAAGAAAATATTGGATTTTATGGATTTCTAAACTATCATCGAAGTTGTATACACAAATGCTTATGAACTCACCAACATATTTTATGTTGATGCTTTTCAAACGACTTATATTCTTTGGAAATCAATAAGAAGGGTTTGGATCGCGGAATCAAGATTAATTTGTTGTGTTTTGGAAATTTTTTAACTGATGTCTCGTTTGTGTAAACTTTGAGAACATAAACATGATGTAAAACAATGTAAGTTTGTATTATTGATGTATGATGTTTGGGTTCGCTATGTTTCATTTATATACAATTGTTATGATACTGCTCAATGATGTCACCCGTCTCAGAACGTTTCCGCCGTTTTGGTTCGGAGGTCTAACAAAATTTCAGCAATTGCTAGAGAAAGAAGTTAGTGCAATTAGCAATTGCAAGCAATTTAGAAAATTAAAGTAGAAAATTAATCTAGAGGTCTTTAACCGTTAATCCCTTTAGACAAGTTGGCCCCCCATGCATACCCTTAATATGACTCTTGATCATACAAGATATTTCAATCTCCCACTTATGTAAGACTCATATTAGATTAATATATAAAGTGGTGAACTTCTAGCAACATTTCACTTCCTAACCAACATACAACTTTATTACATTCTATCAATGCCCAATTCCTAGAAGCCCAAGGTCACAATTGGTGTGTAAGGTAAGTTATCAATTATCCATTTGCTATAGACATCATGTTGAACATAAGATATAGATCGCAGTTAACCTCTTATAAGTGTTCAACTTACATCACCTCTTAGATGTCTAACTCTCAATGAATAAGTGAAACAAATCCATCTTGACTACTTACTCCTCCTGTATGTTTCACGTTATACATGATAATGGCTTTTTTTTAACTGCTTGATTAAGAACAACATTTGACTACATCAAAGCATAACACTCCCCATACTCAAGTCATATATATATATATATATATATATATATATATATATATATATATATATTACCTTTTATTAAGTATCATTCATCAAAGTGATCTATGAAATGATATTGAATGGGTCAATCCAATACTTGTTCTCTAGCAAGTATCTATGAGACTGGTTAGAACACTATGTTAACCATTCCAATTCATAATAGTCTTACTTTATTACTTCTCTCACAATAACACCTGACTATGGATTTTAGAGTGAATAAATTTACTCAAGGATTATACATTTTCATAGAGAACACAAAAAATATTTAATGAAAAGATCATATGCCATATATAGTATAGTCATCACAACAAATGATATTACATAAAGTTGGTATAAAGCAAAATGACTAAAAAATAAAGGTTACAATGGATCTATTTCTGTAATTTCGCTATTATATCATGACCATTATTGTAATTTTGTCTTATATAGGAACCATGTTTGAATTATTTCAATACACATGGATGAATTTACTAATTTTTCATCATTGGGACATTTCAATAATTTTGTCTTACATAGTGACCATTTTGTAATTTTTTCTATTTCCTACACATGAAACATTTCTATAAATGCACCTTATATAGGAACCATTTTGTAATTAGAATAGTCTCCTACATTTTGTTCCTACTCATCATTCTATCATATCAAATATTTAATTTCTCGTAACAATTTAATCTACTTGTCTCCATATCATATGAGTATGCGGATACTAGGAAGAAAATGTAGGAAGATATTTAATTTTTCTTTAAATATTGAATATCTTCGTACATTTTAATTCTACGCATCATTGTATCATATCAAATGTTGACATGTATCACATTTATTGAAATTATTAACAATTTCATCCATTATTTCATATGGGTATGCAGATCATACGAAGAAAATGTAGGAGGATATTTAATTTCTCTTTTGTAATTTTGTTACAGAAAGATATTTCAGTAATTGTCTCTTCCACGAGGACCATTATGTAATTTTCCAAATTAAAAACTACATATACCAAAAGAGTAATTAATATATTTTCTGTAAATTAAAGGAAGATATAATTAGCAAATCGATTATTAACATGATAAACACTATTTATGAGATATTGCTAATTATATTATATCAACAACATTATTTTATAGACTTTAATTAAATTGTAAAAAGTATTGTTGAACAAAATTTTTAGATATACATACAAGGTTGTGAATGATAAGATATTTTATAGCCCAATAAGAAGTTGTCAATAAAAACCCTCAAAATGTTTCTCCAATTAAACACCCTAAAAAGAAAGTCTCTTATGAAGACTCAACTTAGATTGACGAGTTAAGGTTTTTTCACAGCTGAGCCGCTTCTTCCTGTATCTCCATGCTACCTGGATGGTGGTTGCCGCCAAACCCCGCCAGTATGGAGATTCATTCCTAAAGGTGCAAAACAAGTAGACCATATAATATACTTATAGAAACATAATTTAGTTTAAATTCATGTGTAGAAAATCCATAAGTTCAATTCCAAGAATTAGGGTACATTTTTTATTTTTATTTTTATTTAATGTGTAGAAGATGCAATGTTACCTAATGGCAAACTGAACACGATGATTCCTCAAGAATCCAGCAAAAATAGTGGTTACTTCTTCAAGATCTGCAGCCCGAAGAACAAATGCCTCCACATTTGTTAGGCATCTCACTGTCCTGTTGCTAAACAATCTGAATCCTTGTTTCTTACGGTTTTGTGTATCTGGATATGACATTCTAGGATTAAATACAAGAAATAGCAACGTACGTTCATTTCTTTTTGTTTATTATAAAAAGGTTATGCAAACATAAAGAAAATTTCACTGCTAGCTATAACTGGTTAGATTTTTCGAAGTATAATGTTCTCATAAGAAAAAATGGAACACATTTGTCCATGTGATGTCATAATCACAGAAACTAACCAATTTTGGGAAACATAATGGCTTTAGTAATAAATATTTATAGAATACTAACAAAATTAGAAATGAAATAAAAGTGCATTGTTATTTATTGATATTTGTCCATCCGAACTAGTTTATACCTCCATTAACATAGGAATGTTCAAGGCACCATTTGAGAAGTTCTTCACCACATACATCACCTTCCGACAATGAAACTTTATTCCCATCTTCTCCAACGCTCTCCATCTTCCCTCTTACAATAAAAACCATTTTTGCCACAACCCCACTTTTATATAAAATTTTCCCACCTTTGATGTATGTCTTTTGTCTTAACCTTTCACATATTGCATCTAAAATGGGTTCATCCATCAGCGAGAAAATCCGGACCTACAAATTAAAAAGTTGAGTTATAGTTTCAAAGGTTAAATGCATAAAATGTTAGCGCACTTTTGGTGATTTGTTTATAATAGCATCTTACTTTCATTTTTTCCTATAACTATATCATACTCTAAAAAAATATACACAATTATAGCAATAGCATCAATACAAAGACATTCTCACCATTATGACAGGGGTAGATTTTTCAAAGCATAAACTATACACAATAATAAAGGAAAAATTGAATATAGAATGCTATAATATAATATAAATGAAGTGGGTTGTTCTTTCATGCATTTAGCAACGGTTTTAAAGATTTGTAATCATGTAATCACCGCCAACAACAAGAACACAGAGAAAGGGTTGAATCTCACTTTCTTGACAAACTTAAAGAGGTGTCGACGTATATCTCTTTGCAAGTCTTCAGGAAAATTCTCCATTAGCCTTTCTTCATTAACACCTCGGGTAGCTGCCCAATTATAGCGTTCTGATTCTCGAATTTTTCTGCACATCAAATGGTCGACCAAATGGGCATCAATAGTAAACTAACACAAAAACACAATAGCAAAGAAGAATATGTTGAGATTTGTTGACTAAAATAAAAGATAAGATTGTCTCATATTTATGGAAAGAAGATGAGGTGGAGTGCTCCATCCTTTAAATTAAAGGAGTTCACGGCTTTGGTTTAGAAGTACTCCAATCAAACATACTATTCATATATTCTTATTTATCTATTATTTTTCATTCCACAAGTTGTTAGAATCTTCCGGACCATTTTACCAACAGAACTTATGATCATCACTTAACGTTAAGGCTAAACTTGAAGTTTTATCGAGAAGATGAGTAGTGCTTTAATGATTGATTAGTTTAGATGATGAAAATAATGAGACATGAGATTTATACCTTCGTAGGCTTGTAGGCAAGTGTCTATGGCTCATCCACTGCTCAACATCACGTCGTCTAAGTGACATTTCCAGTCGTCTAAGATACATATTAAATAACTAATGTTATCTTTAAACAATAATGAGGCCAAGGGTTATAACATATACGTAGAATAATTATTAATTATAGTAAATGGTACTTCACCTGCGTCCGAGACCTTGAAGAAAGTTCTGCATGTTTCCAATAAGGAGGGCAAAAAGTAAAAGTCCAAGCCCAATTATACCCATTGTAAAAAGGACTTCCCACACAAAATAACTGGGAGTTTGATTGCCCGCCAATGTGCTGATTTGCTTGTCACAATTATCGATAAATGGAAAAACGATTAATAGGAACTCTACTATTACCTTTGATGTAGTTTATTTAATGTAAAAGAAAGGGCTTGAGAAAATAATAATGGGAGAGAAAGTGGATCCAAAATATTTATATACCTGAAACCCCCAAAAAAATGAGTAGACATATCTTGTGATTATATTATTTTCGGCTGTGAGATTGACAGCTTTCACGTAAATTCCATAAGGGAAGCCATCTTCGGTAAAACAAGCACTTGCATTTTCATTTTGTTTCCAGTTATTCCATTGTTGATCAACTTCAAAGGCCAGAGTATCATTCCCATGTCCACAATCTATAAACTTTGTGCAATTCTCGATTCCAGAATTATGACAAGCGTCTCGAAGGCATTGATTCACCCTCTTGTAACAAAGAATTAAAAGAAAAAACAATTAGTATATATCGCCTGCAAACTTTTAAACACTATGGAGTGAATAACAACATGGATGAAAGGAAAACATGAATATATATATTAGACCAAATAAGAAATTTCATCCTTGTGATATATTAAAACTTCTACTTTTGACAAAGCACACGAACGAAACTTATAACTTTGTTTTACAGTACAAAACAAATTCACATTGTATGTAATCCATCTGTATTGATTAAAACATATGAGCTTTGTTTTGTTTGTTAGTTTAAATAAGAAAATATGCAATCAAAAACACAAAGAATTCAAAATCTCACCTACCTGTAACCCTAGCAAATACCAGGATGACCCAACAACATGTCCAGCCAAGACAAAAGTCAAAAGATTAATGAAAAAGTTAATCCATGCAGACTCAAATATGAAACCACTTGGAGATTGTCCAGCAAGAAGAGGCAAAAACCGGTATAATCTTGGAATGTATTGAACAAGAATAGCCGATCGCAAAAGATTCTTTGCATAGTTAGCTCCTGATGATGCAATGGCATTTGGTAGAATAAGTAATACAATTATCTGCATAAATAATTTTAAAGTAATTAAAAAATGATGATGGGCATGGCATAATATATATATATATATATATATATATATATATATATATATATATATATATATATTATATGGTTGAAATAGAATGTTACCTGAGGAACTGGCAATACGATAAATAAGTCGAGGAAGAAAAATCCAGAAAGATAATGTAACGCGATCTTCTTAGGATGATCAACCAAGTCTCCAGCACCTACAACTCTTGATTCAGGTGAAATGAATGCCAACCTGAACTGAAAAAGAAGTTCAAAGATATATTATTATCAAGTCTATTGGAATGAGAACTGAAAAAAAAAAAAAAAAAAAAAAAAAAAGATAATGTAAAAAGAGGTGATTATTAATTAAGTGGTTTACCTGAAGAAGCATATGCAAGAGGTATATAAAGTCGGTCATGCTTCTGAAAGCCACCATGGTTTTTGTCATTGGCCAATTAATTAATATGCACTTAAACTCCTGCTTCCAAAAAAGCAAGCATGTAGAAGGAATATCATGATTAAAAGATTAGTGATAGATTACACAATAAAAAGGGAATGTAGCAAATCCCTATCAATATCATAGTCTAGAGTACTTATTATGCCATTGTACTTTAAAAGAAATGTCAGATTATAGAATTATATGCTCAATTTATTTAGTATTAGAATGTTATACTTTGGAAAATCTATGCAATTATAGCAGCAAAAGTTGTTTTACATTTGGTGGATATTGCTATGGTTGAGTAAAATTTTCAAACTCCATTGCTTTTATAGGAAAAAAAATGAAAGCAGATGCTAGCTAATACACTACAACAAAGGAAATAATAAAAACATAATGGTTTAATTACAGTGGTTGTGGTGTAATAAGTCAAACAAAAAACACCTTTATTTATGTGTCCGGATTAAGTCCATTAAGTAAAACAGAAACACATACTAAGATAATGCAGTACAAAAGTGAACTAAATAATTAATGAGCATAAGCAACAAGTTTTCACAATGCATTGATAACCTAACACAAAAAATGAAAGTTTCATACCAAAATTCAGTTTTACCTTATTCACCAACAACAAGTAAAAGAATAAGGGGTCTATGAAAATGGAAACTAAGCAAGAAATGACAATGAACTGGTTCCACTGTTGAACAACTTTGGCATGTGGATTCATGATCCCAAATGTAAAATGTTTTAGTAACAATAACTTTCCTTGTGCCCACCCCTTGACACCTCCATATATAACATTATCAAACTGCAAAAAGAACAGAAGAAAAAAAAAACATTCAACTACCAATCGTTCGAGTTTCAGAAACTGTTAATAAAAATATTCACAATGTTAAATTAGCCAAAATAATCAAACATTTAGAGATAGTGGTTTAATAAAGATTTTTAAAATTCAGGGACCAATTAGAATAGATAAAAGTATGTTTGCTGCTTATATTAGCTTTTGAGCAAAATTAGAAAAGTCGTCCCTATGGTATGTCCAAACATATGTATTGGGTCCCTTGTGATTTTTTTTGACCATTTTTATCCGCTCAAGTATCACGTGTAACCCTTTTCGTCCCTATTGTAAATGCCTCCGAATTTTTGTCTGTTAAGCTTTCTCATGTGTGAAAAACATGAGGGCATATTCGTCTTTTTAGATTTGCTAGTAATCAATCATCACTGTATTTCATTTATAATTCTCATAAAGACGAATGGAGTGGTTTCGAGAAAAAGCATTGTTAACCAACTTTTGGGTTTTTTTTTTTTATGAAATACTATATTGACCGATTACGGGCAAACCTAAAAAGACGAAAATGCCCTCACGTGTTTTCTCACATGATAAGGTGTGACAGAAAATATTGGATCTTGTTTGCCTAAGGGGACGAAAAGGGTTACTAAAAAGTCGCAAGGAACCCAATCCATAATTTTGGACGATTTTATATTTAACTTAAAGATCAAAATTTTTTATGATATCATCAATATTCAAGAGTTTAGCAGCTCAAAATTGTTCATCAAAGAAAAGAAGAGTAATACATGGTGATCAAACCCTTGGGCAACTGTTGAGATCGGTTTTGCTTTGTAGAAAGGTGGGCATGTTGTACAATAAGGATCATTGCACATCCCCAATCTTCCTGACCTGAATAAATGCTCATTTTTTGCCTCACTATTAAAATCTCCGAATTGATGATTATAATTTCCAGAATCTTCTTGTTCCTGTGGCTTCCTCTCTTGTGTATGTTCATCATGAGTGTTTCTTTCACTACGCAAGGGACCTGTAAATCCAACACGACTTGTTGAATTGGAATTCAATTCAATGGAGGTCACTGGAATGGATATTGAAACACTTCTGTTCCTTTGTGAAAATCTTGGATTTGGATTGTAATCAGATAATGGCCAATCCGTAGCTGTTAAAATTGGTATATCATCTTTTTCAATAGAGTCCATCTATCAATGCCTCAATAGCAATAGCTGCATGCGAGATATGAAAACTGGTCAAATAGTCAAACAAGTACAAATAACTTTATGATTAGTTTTGCCCTAAATAACCATCTGGAAGTAGCTAGCAGTAATCAAATAACCGCTTAGAAACACTTGTAGCCTAAACAGATTATATGAAAGTAAACCAACTACTCATATTCCTTAAAGAGGTCAGATAAATGGAACATCAGAGCTAAAAACACACTCTCAAACAGCAAAAACGTTGAATATACAAAAAAAACTAATGTTAAATTCATGATGGTTATTTGGGGGCAACACATTCAATTGTATTCAACCACAAATTAAAAAGCAATCAGTCATCATTTTGTTTACATTCTTCAAGAAAAATCAAAGTTAGTTCATGATCAATATGAAGCGTATTCAATAATTCCAGTACAAAAAACAAAAAAATTATAAGAACCCAGATGAAATTATGACATACCCTTTTAAGTTCTCTATCTAAACTCCATGGAACGAACAATGGGGAAGTGGTAAGTAGCTATAAGATTGTGCTTGAACAGGAGGATAATAAGAAACAGCCAAATGAAAAGGGGAGACAAGGGTTTGAATAGGACTTGCATTGATTGAGACTTGAGAGTAGACTTGGACCGCTGACCCAGTGAAAGATGGAACTTTCAAAGCGATTATGAGAAAGACAACGCAACAGATAGAGTTGAATGGTTAAACCTTCGCCGGGTAGCCTTATATACCCACCATATTTATTTACTTGGGGATGTATGCATATTTATGGCGCAACTAACACCAAAGTTATTATTTTTGTCAACACTAGAGGTCTAAATCTACTTTAATATTAAATTAGATTATGTTTGATCGGTCATCTAGGAGATAGATTGAAAATAACTTATTTGGTCATCTAGGAGATAGATTGAAAATAACTTATTTTTTATTCGTCTCACTAAGTTTATTGGGTTTCTTTAGGGAATATTATTTGAAAATGATGTTAAATTTAATTTTCACAAAATATCATTTTAGATACATATTTATATTAATTTTTAAATTACATGGAACACATTAAAACTCTTTTATTTTCCACTTTAGAGTCTATGTAAGATCCGTTTTCTAAGAAAAGTCTTTAGTCATTTAAGTTGAATGATTAAGTTTTCTTCGCACAACGATGTTGTAAGGTCTAGACCACGGTGCAAGACATGTCATTAAATGGCGACATAGTCTAGTCCTCATCGCGGCTCAGTGGCGGCTAAAGTTCAAAACCGTGGGTCTCGGGCCTTAGGCTTTATTAAAATGCTCTAACTTCTAAGGTTGCGTCATTTGGCAGCCCCCACCCTTTGAAATTGACCCTCTCCAAAAAGCCCTAGCCCCATTTATGTGTTTTGAGCTTTTGATCCCTCTTTGTGAAGGTTGGTGAAGTAGGGAATCTCTCTTGGTGCAAGGAAGCGATGGTTCATCTTCGATCTAGCCTTCTCATCAAGTTTTTGGTCCACTTGAGGTATAAAGCACCAACCTTGGCCGTTATTATCTAGATCTATGTTTATGCTTCATTCGGGTGCTTTTGACTCCTTTTTCTTGATGTTCTTGGAGTTGGGCAACTCCAAGACCTTGTGAGTAATCCAAATGACTTATGAATAGGAGTGTTGAAAGAAAGCCGAATTTGCATGCTTCCTCTTATGTGATGCATGTGTTTTCGTTCAATTTAGAGTTAGCTTTAGTGTTTGGGTGAGTTTGACCCATGAGAATGGATAAAGTTGGAAACTTTATCCATTAAGATCATTATAGGAAGCTGACTTGAGATTTTAGGCGCTAGAAATTAATTGTTAAGAGCTTAATCCACTAAGTTGTTTTGGAGCATGATCATGGTGCGGTGGTGTGTAGACCACGATGCGGTAGACTATGATTCCTCACCACTATTTTTGATCTTAGCAAATCTGTTTTGTATGTGATATTTTAAAGGACTCACTAAACTTTGGCTTATAGTTGTGGATTAAATGTTTTAGGTGCTTCAAATGATCGTGGGAAGGCGAAGGTGTGACTGTACACAATCATCAGCAACTTTGAATTTTTATATTTGAATTATGGAACAAATGGTTTTATTGATCTTTGGTTTATGAAAATGGCTTTTAATCTAATTTAAAATTTGAAAATTGTATTGTTAAAATAGGACATTACAAGTTGGTATATAATGAGGTATGATTCGGAAATACCTCTACCCTTTCCTGGATATCCCAAATTGACATATTCAAAGATGCCCGAGCCACTAAAACGCCGAACTGGCATAACGAATTTTGAGGAGAAGAAGGAACAGAGGGAAGGTACAATATGACGTCTAAACAGTAATAGAAGTATCTCGAAACTATGAGGATACAGTTTGTACAAGGATACGTGGTCAATAGATCATGGTATAACCACAAGATAGATGTATAACGATATGTATAGTACCAATGATCGTACCTTCGGGCATTACACCATAAATGCAATAAGATGGCATGTCAGGGTCGATCCAAAACAACTTGCCACTTCCTATATCCCTATAAATAGATGTCTCGACACCACTGGAAGGTAAGTACACCGAATCTACTTCCAACTCTAGTGTATAATCCATCGAATATATAACCTTTCACTACTTAACCGTCGGAGAATCAACCGGGATCACCTCCCGGGTGGTTGCTTACGGTTTGTTTGTAGTCTTTAGGTCAATTTGATTCCCGGTGGAATCGAATCAGGAAGTAAAAGATGGAAGACGGATATGATGGCACGTCAAGTGGCGCCATCTGTGGGACCCTGCAACAAACTGTCGGCACAAGCACACGAGCAGACAAAGCAAGTCCCGTTGCGAGAATGCAAAACCTAGAAGGCCCAGAAGCAACCCTACAGGTTTCTACTGTGGTAAGACATCAGAACATAGTCACCAGAAAGTTTTTCAGCGACGAAAGAACAGACTTACAAGGCAAAACTACAGAAGAAGTGGAGTTAGACGAATTCGAAGCATTCCAAAGTTTTATAGCCATGAGAAAGTTGCAAAGTGAAAAACGACTCCAAAAGGAAAAGGAATGGGATCGTGTTTCGGTCCACACAGACCAAACGGAAGATTCCAGTGAAGAATAAAAGGAGTCAAACCTTCGCCAAAAAAGATCAAGCAAGAATGGGAAGGATGTAGATCGATCAACCAATACAGAAAACACTTATAGAAAATGAGGAAAGCTAGCCAGAGTAATAGAGGCCAAACAATACTACTATGAATTCAAGAGTCTGAACTTTCGCTCTCCTTTTACAGATCACATCAATGAAACACCCATCCCCAAAGGATTGAAAGGGCCAAGGGTACCGCCTTATGATGGTACCGGAGACCCAGAAGATCATGTATCTAATTTCCAATGGGCGATAAAGATGATATCGATGGACCCAAAATTATAGAGCCTATACTTCATAGGAAGCTTGGATAGATTTGCCTAATACTAGCTCTCCAGCCTACCACCCCGAAGTATAAGGAGCTTTAAAGAGTTATGTCAAAAGTTCTGTAAAAGCTTCATACAACAACGACGGTTCCAGCAGCATGCATATACAATATTTGCTTGTCGACAACACGATGGAGAATCGAGTAAAGCATATTTTCAAAGATTTAATGAGATTAGTAGAAAGATGCCAACGTGAGACGACCCTATGATCATAGCGGTGTCCACCTATGGGTTTCTAAAAAGGCAGTTATTTCGAAAGTTGGTAGGACGAGAGTAGGTTAATGCAGAAGAAATGATACAAAAAGTCAACCGATTCCTGAGACAGGAGGCTAAAAGCGTCGAAAAAGAAAGAACTGAAGGAAAGGATATGGCGGGAAAAGCAAAGAAGGAAGAGAGAATTACAAGAGGATTCCACACCATAGCAAGAGGAGAAGGCAAAATGATTACCGACCATATCAGCAAGAAACATACGAAGCCTATACTCCACGAAATCTGAGTAGGCATAGCTCGGATAAAAATAGAAAGTATCCTCGAGACCCGAACAGGTATTGTGACTTTCACAAAAAGTTGGTTCATGCAACGAAGGATTCTGAGAGTCAAAGAAGAGAAAAAGAGAGAAAGCGATCGTCGAAAGCTGATGATGGAGCGACGAAGAGAGACAATACACCAAAGTATGACGTTGAAATTGTCATGGTTCAAGGTGAGGAGGATTCTGGAGACAAGTTGACATGGAAGCAGAAAATAACCAACATCGAGTTCAGTCTTCATGATCCAATACCTTTTGATCATAAAGGAACAGGGCCTCTTATAATTAAAGTGGAAATAGGAAGAACGTTGATTAGAAGGGTCTACATGGATAATGGAACTGCGGTCAATGTAATGTACAAACATTTCTTGAAGGCTTTACCTCCGGATATCCAAAGATGCCTCAAGCCTACCACGGTTGCAACGGTAGGATTCGCGGTCTAGTCATTATGGCCTAGAGGGAAGATCTTTCTACTTTCACATTGGAAGACTACCGAGGTAACATTCGGAAAATGATACTAACAGAATTTGTAGTGGTACAAGCACCTTCTCCCTATAACATACTTTTGGGAAGAACTAGTCTGTGGAAACTTCAATCCGTTTCATCCACTATACATGGTCTACTTAAATTACCCATTGAAGAAGGGGTGGTGATAATTCAAAGCACCACCTACGTCCTCCTAAGCGTAGTCATGCTGTGCAACCAGACCAAGCTGAGCCCATGGAAGAGGAGGAGTTTCCTCAGTAGACACCGAAGAGGTAATTGTCAATAAAGTCCACAAGGATCAAACAATCAAAATAAGGGTCGATCTCCCTAGGATGTTTCAGGAAGGATTAATGACGATGTTAAGAAAATACCAAGATACATTCGTGTGGACACCCGCAGATATGACGAGTATCCGAAGATCAATAATAGAGCACTATCTAAATATCGATCCCTCATGCATGTCGGTAAAGCAAAAAAAAGTGTATCATGGCCAAAGAAAGAATGGAAATCGTCAACAAGGAAGCCGAAGCATTAGTAAGAGTTAGGGTTATGATGGCAACAGAATTCCCAAAATGGATCGCCAATCTAGTGCTGATGAAGAAAATAGATGAAACAATGAGGATGTGTGTCGATTTCACCGACCTCAATAAGGCTTGCCCGAAAGATAATTACCCCCTCCCAGAGATCGAGCAAAAGATCGAGTCATTGGGGGGATATTGGCGGAAGTCTTTTTTCGATGCGTACAAAGGGTATCACCACGTAAAGATGGCCACCACTGATGAAGATAAAACAACTTTTCATACTGAGAAGGGAACCTTCTGCTATACGAAGATGCCCTTCGTTTTGAGGAATAATGGGGAACCTTACCAGAGTTTGGTAGAAAAAGTATTCGCAAAGCAAGTAGGAATGAACGTCGAGGTGTATGTAGATGACATGATAATCAAGAGTAAGGGGGACAATGATTTTTTGGCAGATGTGGAATAAATCCTTAGAAGGCTACGACAAACCAACATGAAACTCAATCTAAAGAAATGCATTTTTGTAGTACAAAAAGAGAAGTTCTTAGGACATATAGTAACAAAAACCGGGATAGAGGCAAATCCCGAGAAGTTCGAAAGCTTGTTGAAAATGATGACACCACGAACAATGAAGGGGGTAGAAAGCCTTAATGGAAAGTTGGCAGCCGTGGGACGATTCCTAGCTAAGTCAGTGGACCAAACGATACCTTTCTTTCAAACACTGAAAACATTTATAGGAAGGAAAGACATACTATGGTCAGATGAGGCGAAAGAAGCACTCCGGAAGTTAAAACAGTCCCTCAAGCAGTTGTTGACCTTGGCGAGTCCTTTAAAAGAGGAAGTGCTAACGATGTACCTATTAGCAAGTCATGAGGCGGTTAGTGCATCGTTAGTCGCAAGAAGAGTAATGAAGCCAGTACCGATGTATTTCGTTAGTAGAAGTTAGTGCAGCGTTAGTCGCAAGAAGAGTAATGAAGCAAGTACCAAAGTGTAAAAGTTGGTTTTTTCACTTGTATATGCATCTAGACAGTTACGTAGATATTTCCAGGCATACCCCATCAAATTGTTAAATGATCAACCAATGAAGCAGATCCTATTCCAGCTAGAACATTCAGGAAGAATAACAAAATGGGCGATAGAGCTAGGAGAGCATGAAATCACATACAATCCCCAAATCAACATAAAGGGGCAAGTTCTACCTGATTTTTTTGACAAAAATACCATACGACTCACAGTCATCAATGATTACCACTCCTAAGGGTACTGGTGAACCTTAGGAAATGTCATTCATCATAGTCAAGGAAACGTGGGCGTTACAAGTTGACGCGATATCAAGAAAGACAGGTCAGGAGCGGGCATTGTCCTAGCTAGCCTGTAGGGAGACAAATTGTAATAACCCTAAAATTCCTATCATTGCTTGTAATCCTTTTCGTAACTTATTTCGATAATCCAATCACGTTTCCAATTTCGTTTCCGATTTCGTCATTTAATTAAGTCATTAATTTGTAATTGATATTATGACTTAATGGGTGTCCTAATACTTTTAGAAGTTATTCTAACGCCCCATATTAGTAATCGGAACATTTCTAGAATCAAACATATATATATATATATATATATATATATATATATATATATATCAGTGTTGTAAAAATCCCGATTAGGTCCCAATTAATCTCCGATTAATCCCTAGGCGTTACTTGACCGATTAGAGAGCGCCTAGCGATTAATCCATTCATACAAAATGACTGAAACAGTAGAACCCGATGAAATTTTAATACTTTGAAGAAGTTATATGTCAATAGAAACTATTTGAGGTATGATTAGTGTTGTATTTATCATATTAACCTATTTTGTTATGATATTAGTGGTATTTATGAACTTTTATATGATATTAGTCATATTTAATTTTTTAAAATTTAACAAATTAGCAACTAATGGTCTCCGATTAATCTCCCGATTAATCTCCGCCTAGCCGATTAATCCCTTGACCCTAGTCCACCGACTACCGAACGTCGAGCGATTTTTACAACCTTGATATATATATATATATATATATATATATATATATATATATATATATATATATATATATATATATATATATATATATATATAACCATGTTTGTAATAAACCTTGAAAGTCCACAATCTAGGACCAAAATCACCCTTTGGTGGGTGAAACCAAAACCAAAATCATATTAAGGACCCAAATATTCCAAACCGAGATCTCCCTTTAGTGAATAGTGCCAAAACCGAAATCACAAGCCTAGAACACACATAGGCCGAAATCACCCAATACCGAAATAACGTAGGGCCGAATTCACATGTGATTTCGGTGGGTTTTGGAAGGGATTTCTGTGGGAATAAAGAGAAAAGGAGTTGAATTCATGACGTGATGATTCACCCTTTTGCCATGCAAAACTATAACCAACATACATCAAAGCAAATACCCATCAGTATCCCATGTAATATCCAACAGGCAACTAGGCAACCATCAAATCATTAATTTCCCTCTTTAACAATGGCAGAACATCCACAACCCCCCCCCCCCCCAAACCCATTCCATTTTCACTAAAGATTACTCCATATTCTCTCAAAGAGCAAGTTCAATGTCTTTCTAGATAAATTTCTCCAACCTTATGCTAAGAGTTTTGGTAAGTTTATCTCACTAGCCTAGTGTTTTTACACACATTTACACTAGTTTTGTTATATTTACACACATTATTATGTGTAAAACTCTTATGGTAATATCATCTTCAATGAGTTTATCTACCCCATTCAAGATCTTAGGCTTGGAAACCTTCACATCATCTCTTCAAAGAACCCACAAATCCACTCAAGGTGAATTCATACCCCCATATTTTCAAGTTTTTCATGTTTTAGTGGGGGGGGGGAGGGAGGGAGGAATACAAGTAAAACTTGGTTTTCCACACAAATACTTGTCATCTTCCATCTTTATGTTAAAAATAAGATATTATTACAAGATATATGCTTATTTCTAGATTCCATACAACTATTTGTGATATATTAGTTTTGAAATGTAAAACTAACAAAAATAAAACATAATCTATGTTATAAAATCATAAGAAAAATTATGATTTGCAAAACTACATGATT